AAGAATCCCTTCTTTTAAAGCACAGTGGTTCACAATTTCAAAATATTTTGGTCCTCCTGAAAAACAAGCCAGATTTTTTTTTTTTTTAAGCAGCTTCAGACTGAAAAGCTTAATGAGGCAATTTCCTTGCAGCCAGGCTCGGGGAAGGAAGGGTGGTGACAGGAGGAACATAAGGCTTGAGCATTTGGAGTCCGCTTTGTCAGTCCCCAAACACTGTTAGATGTGATCATTTACACCATGACTGTACAGACTTCTGATGGGCAGTGTGATGATTCATTTAATGTATGATGAGGCCGAAATCTCCAGGTAACCCTCTAGAGAAAGGGATCATTTCTTATGTCTTCATTTTGCACATAAAATCAGCTAAGGGGCCTTGACTGGAATTGCCACACGAATTTTATTTCATATGGGATTACACAGGCCACTGTGTGTTACTTCTCTGGTCTATACTTCGGTTTTGAACTTAAACCAATGTACCACTGAACTCTTTAAAGCAAAGAAACTTATGATAAAATGACCAGCATGCTGCACTCAGCATGAAATAGCTTCCCAAAAAACCACTGCAGTACTAAAGCTCCTTGGATGTTAATCTCACAGGTGAAAGGAAAAAAAAACCTGATTTCCAGTATCTTACCAGCCCAATTGTCACAGTGTGGTAAGGTAAGGGGGTTTATTTTATGAATTGGGGCACTACTGCAACTTTCTGTCAATCCAAAGTTCAGAGATATACAAAACACAAAAAATCCCATCAGGACAAACAACCTGGCATTCCCATGACACAGTTTTTTTAACCCTTCCTACTTCCACGGGGATTTGCTGTATGGGTACATATTTTACTGCTGGGCTTTCATTTTGTTCCAGATCGCCCTGACAAGAGAAAATTAAAGCTTTCCAAATGTACCAAAGAAACAAAACATGAATTGCATTGTTTTCACCAAATCTTCCTTCAAAGAACACTATAATGCACTGCAGCAATGGCCCCAGATTTTCCAGTAGAGGGACTGGGCCATTCCTTCAGAATACCTCAGGGTTGCCTTTGTTGTTTTTTTATAAAAAACTTTTTTAAGTGTGTGTCACATGGATTAACTTCCCCATTCTTCTATATGGTCTAGTAGTTTTAATGATTAAAATAGTTCTGGTACTTTCCATCCCATAGTTTTATTTTTACTTTAGCATGTACAGAACTGAAAAGGCAATTAACTTTTGGGGTGGGTGGTTTTGGCGTTTTTTTTTTTTCCTTTCTGAAACTCTTTCATCCCTAGGTGATTTTACTAGCACACTTGAAATGCATTTGAAGGAAAAGAAAAGCTTTTCAGTGTCTGATGAGGGGTAGCTTCGTGGTTGTGATGGAAATGCTGGCAGTGAAAACAACTGGAAGGATGAGTCAGCAGCTCTATGGCATGATCTACTTGTTCAAGTCAGTAATAATTGGAGATTTCAATTTCCATTCATGACAACCTTGAAACAAAACAAGCCCCCAGAAAAAACCTCATCTATGCCGAAATTTCTCCATTTACTGTTGCCACATTACTGCAATAATGCAATAAATAAGGTGATTAGCACTAAGCACGTGGAAGAGGGGACATTTTTCTCTGCAATCTTCAGGCCTTCCCAGCACTTTGCCCAGTGTTCTTTCCAGATTCAGTTTCACTGTTTGTTTCAACAGTCACTTTGTTGGTTTCCTGTTGCTCCTCTGGGGTTAGTTCTCATTGCAGCAGGAGAGAACAACGTTTTTAGGACGAAGGGGTAAAAAGTGAGAGTAAAGCCCAAACAGCAGCGGGGTGACCCAGGGGCAGAGATGCCACTCCTGGAATGGCACTTCCCGCTCGGCGCGACTCGGGATTCCGAGCTGCGGCAAACAGGTAACACCTCGCAGCTGGGAAGAGCTGGGGGTCCTACCCCGCTGCAACAAACTCCCCCAGGGTTTTTATCGAGACGGGGGTTTTTTAAAAAAGCCGCGAAAGGGGGTTTTTAAAAGAGCTGTGACGACCCTCCCACATCCCACGAGGGCTGCGCGAGGATGGCCCGCCGGAGGTGGAGGGCGAGTCCCTGAGCAGACTGTGCAGGGCCTGCGAGCTGCCCTGGCCGCGGAGCCGGCTCCTCGGGGTTCCTCAGGGGGCCTGGCTTCCTCGCAGGGCCGGATTTATGAATGGATGGGACGGAACTCCGCCATGAGCCCGCGGTGTAACTGCATCACCCCATTGTTGCTACACACGCACAGCACTCACTGGGGAACAAAAAGCTGAATGAGACGGAGCAGCTGCCAACTCAGGCAGAGACAACTTAGGAAACTATCTCATTCTTCCTTTCTTTTGGGAGGCTATTTCGCCCGTTGTTTCCTTGCATACAAAATGCGGTCTGCAACGAATAAGGCAGGATAAGATACAGCGAGTCCTGTTTTCTTGGTTCCAAAACCACAGGCCCTGAACGCTACAAAGGAAAGGGATAAATGGTGTATGTGCTGCGGGGACAATGTTCAATTGCGACCCATTCAAGATAGATTTCCATGATTTTTACACTATGGCTTGACAGAAACGGAATTCTTGAGCACGGGGGGGTTCTGAACTTCGTTTCTGGGCAGGAATTTGCAGGGATCTTTAGGAAGGGACTTGGGGATAAAAAAAAAAAAAAAATCCCCAGCACAGACGTATGTCTGTGGCACACAGAAGGGGAGGCATTTTAAATGCCGTTTATTGTGGGTCCAGCCTTCGAAACAGCCCCACTCCACATTTTCAAGGGCTCACAGCCAGCTCGTTCAACAGGACCTAAAGAAAATCCTGGTTCCTTGTTTTCTTTCCACCTCAGGCCTTTAAATACGCTTTGGATTTTCCGAACAACTCCATACACACCCGTTTCCATCTGGAAGCAGACTTTTAAAAAGGAACTGTGCCCACCTACAGGCCTACACATTGGCTCTGCCTGAAAACCTCTTCCCAGCTGCTGATGTGGGGGAAGGACAACTCCTTGTGCCACCTGGATGCTGGGTCAGAGCTGGGCTCTGAGAAGAAGATGCTCCTCCTGTGCACATAGAACCCCTTCATCACACACAGTGGACCTGATCAGATACTGTAAACTTAATTTGGGATCTAACCTTGTCAGCTTTTGCCAGTGATGTAACCCTGAGCAATTTTTCAATATGACCTAACAGTTTCTACATTTCTAGTTGGCCTCATGGAAAAGAGACTGGAGGGGGCCTCTGGAGGCCTAAAACATAGCTGTGTGCCTTATTTTCACTGACTTGAGCCTACAAAATTCTGGTCCAAGGTAAAGACTTTCATCTACCTACCCCTGCACTGGTTTCTCCAGCTTCTCAGAAACCTTAATGTATTTCTCCTCTGGGAGGAGATCCGGAGGCCCAGAAAAAGTTCCTACAAGCACAAACCCAGCCAGGGCAAGCCAGCCCCACAAATGATTTGTGGGAACACTCCCAGGCATGCCAGGGGAGGCAGCTCCCAGAGACAAGGCTAGCAAGCTGCCACACTGAACTGATGGATGGCTGCTCATCCAGCAGGTGAGGGGATGGATTTACCCAGCACAGGTCTGTGGCAAGGCAGAATGCTGACTGCAAGGCCTTAAAATGTGCCCTGTCCACCCAGCTCTCCTTCCTCACATCCCGTCCTTGTGCTCAGCAGGGATGCTGTATCCTCCTCTGAAGGGACAGGATACTGCTCTCACTGGAGTGCTGCTCTGGGATGCTGTGGAAATTCCTGACTTCCGGAGCTGTTTGTTTTTCCACTGCACTGACCCACCAAGAGATGCACGGGGAGCTCCAGGGCTCCCTGTGAGTAGATTTGTTAACTCTTCACCCACCGGCCTCTCCCCTGCAAGCAGCAACAACGGGAATGTTCCCACCCCCCTGCAGGAGAACGGAATGGAACATGCAATCCCCATCCTGCAGAGCTGGCTGAAGTCAGAATCACAGAATCACAGGACAGTTTGGGTTGGGAGGGACCTTAAAAATCACCCAGTTCCAACCCCCTGCCATGGGCAGGGACACCTTCCACCAGCCCAGGTTGCTCAGAGCCCCATCCAACCTGGCCTGGGACACTGCCAGGGATGGGGCAGCCACAGCTTCTCTGGGCAACCTGTGCCAGGGCCTGCCCACCCTCCCAGGGAAGAATTTCTTCCATACATCTAAGCTAAATTTCCCCTGTTTCAGTCTGAAACCACTCCCCCTTGTCCTATCACTACAATTCCTAATGAAAAGTCCCTCTCCAGCTTCCCTGGAGGCCCTTTCAGATACTGGAAGGTGCTGTGAGTCCTCCACACAACCTTCTCTTCTCCAGGCTGAAAATTCCCAACTTTCTCATCCTGCCTTCATAGGGGAGGTTCTCCAGTCCTCTTATCAACTTCGTGGCCTCCTCTGGATTTCTCCAACATTTCCATGCCCTTCCTATGCTGGGGACACCCACAGGTGTCCATGGGAGCAGAGTAGAGGGGGCAAATCACCTCCCTAAGTTGTGTGGGACTAGCTCTCAGTGACTCTTTGGGGCAGTAACAATCACAAAAGGCGACTCAGATACCCCACGCAGAGCTGCTTTCACTACCCCTAAGGCTGCTGAGCTTCTCAGCTCCTCCAGGAGCGGCTCCCTGGTGTTTATTTTGGTAGGGGGAAGGAGCAGTGAAACCAAGGTTTGCACGGCCCTGTTGTCACTGTTTCTCCAGGCTGTGATTTAGGCCAGGGCACCTATTTATCAGAAATAACTGTTATCCCTGGAATGACACTGGCAGGATGCCTTGTACAATCCTGCCTAAAGTCTGGAGCGCTGCTTTGGATTCCCACAAGGATATCCAACACCAATGTGTCTCAAACAACCCATGTGCTGGTTGCTTGCTTACCCAACAGCCGGGCTCTAATTACACGTTGTTTATTAATAACATATTTTTTGGTCTAATTCTTAATGAAATATACATTAAAAACATTCATTTTAGCACTAGGTGCCAAACTCCAGTGCAAATCTAGAATAACTCATTGATTTCAGCCTCCTGGTTTATGCTGCTATTTCCCAGCAAATAGATCGCACCCTTAAATTATCATTATAAACCAGTAAAGGTTCAGAAGAGCTCACTGCAGTTAAGCTGCATCAGGGTTTCATTATCACTCTCTCTTTTCACATGCTTGGAGCTTTGAAGCTGCAATTTTTCATGGAATCACAGAATCGTGGTTCTCACGCTTCACCTCGGACAGTGACATCTTTTGAAAAGCCAGGGGGAGAGTCCTACCACCCGTTTTCCATGCTAAGCAATCACACATCCCAAAGCCAGAAAGGATCAGAAGGCCCCAGCAGCCTCTGGTTGGGAAGGGCTGCCCCCCAGCTTCCTGATGGTTCCTGTGGGCTACCACGAGGCACGGCGGGGCAAGAAGCCTTTGCTCTGCAGAACTGTCATTTCTGTGAGTTCCCCTCCTTTTCTGCCATGTGATGCTCCTGAAGCCCAGCAACTCTCACTTCCCCCTCTTCCCTAACCTCCCCTTTGAAAACAAAATCATTCACACAGTGACAATGAATTAATTGTGTCGCTGCAGGAACAGCTCTCAGGCATCAGAAATTAGGAAGCGAGAGAACTGAGGCTGCTCATTCAACTTTAATTAAGTCCCAGTGTAAAATATATTACAATAGTCTTTACTCTTTATTAACACAGCCTTGGGCTAACTCTTACACAATCTAGCCAGTACATTTTTCTCCAACAATACATTTTACACATGAGGCTGGTATTACTACCTATTGCTAAGAATGCCCCTGAAACCATTTTTTTCAGTTGCTTCTTTCTCTCTCAAGCTTTTAACATGTGGGATGAAAGTTTCCAGCCCTGGGCCCTTTGGCATTTTTCCAATGCAGAAGTCACGAAGGAAACTTCTACCAAAATATTTCTCCCAAATCCAAACAGCTGGCTAACAGAAAATACCTAGTTTTGTCTAAGTTAAAAATTTTGGCCACCTTTGGTTGGGCTGAGACTTCAAACCTTGCAGGGAGTCAAGGTCACAACAATGGAAACACCTTGAAAAAAAAAATGACAGCGCCTCTAACTTCTGCAAAAGACTTCAATTTCTTAGCAATTAAATTATCCAGAAGCTGCTTTTATCCCAAGTGTGCTCTGATTTGGGGACTGAGACTCTCCTCAGTGGTCTGTGCTGCTGGGGGCTGACCCCAGGAGCAAAGGGAAGAAAGTTTGTCTCTGCCCAGTGCAAACAGACATTTGGAAAGGAGATGAGACCAGTAAAAAGAAGAAATCCTTCCCTGGGAGGGTGGTGGGGCCCTGGCACAGGTTGCCCAGAGAAGCTGTGGCTGCCCCATCCCTGGCAGTGTCCCAGGCCAGGTTGGATGGGGCTCTGAGCAATCTGGGCTGGTGGAAGGTGTCCCTGCCCATGGCAGGGGATTTGAACGAGATGATCTTTAAGGTCCCTTCCAACACAAGCCATTGCACTCCAGGCACTCAGAATTTTTTATGTCCCATTTTCTGTGCAAATCCAGTTCCAATCAAAAGAAATGGGAAGCCACAGAACTGCACTTGAAAATTAGGATCGTATCGAAAATCTGATCATAAGGAAAAAAAGACTTATCAAAATTCTCTCCCTTTTTGGTAAACTGGACTACTTATTCACTTCCTTCAAGCCAAGGGTTTTTAGATTATACCTCAGTGAGGGCCACAAGAGCAGTTTCAAGGTTGCAAACACAGGACCAACAGCACCATAAGACCCCCTGTTTGACTTTATTCCCCCAGGGAATGCTGCCTGCTTGCTCACCCCATCGCTCAGGGTACCCAAGGGGGCTTTGGTGCTGGACCCCCAGCCAGGGCAGGCAGAGCAGCCTCTCCCCACCAGGCTGCTGAACCAGAAAGGGTGAACAAAAATTGATCCTGGGAGTCTAAGGAGGTTTGGAGATTCAAAAGCCTGTAACTCAGCCCGGGAGCATCCCCGTGCCTTGCTCCACCGAGCTTTCAGGATCAGGACAGGTCTCACAGCCTGGTGCCCTCAGCAGTGAAAGGAGAGGAATGTGGGACACTCACCACATCTGTGTTGGTGATCTTGGCCAGGAGGTCCGTGAGGCTGTCCCCATCATCGAGCTGAAGGCCACAGATGGCTGCTCCCACACTTCCAGTTGCTATCATTGACGGTGGGTACATGGCAAAGTTAAAATCTGCAAGAACAGATCTGGGAATTAGTCCAAGCCCAGACCAAGAAAAGCTGCAAAACATCAGAGGCAGGCAACATGAAAAAAAACCACACCCAGGAATAAAACCCGGGGAAGGAGAAGAAAGGGAAAAGTGCCACTCTTTTTGGTCCCGTGGAGCTCATTAGTCACACTGCTCATCACAAGCAGTCAAAGGAGGGGGAACAGACCTGCAAATTAAAATGGAAATGCAGTTCGGTCTTTTATTCTCACTGATGCATAAAGTAAACCTGGACAATTTTTAATAGTCTTTCCTTAGTTTTAAAAGAAAAGGAAAGAGAAGAAGGAGGCTTTCTGTAATTTATGTCAGAAATTTGGGTCTCGGTCACATTAAACCTCTCTGTATAACTGGAAAATTAACTGGAATAAGGTATCACAAAGGACCAAAATGAGATTTTTAGTCACGTCAATTTTTAAAGACTTAATTAATTCGAGCATTTAAAGACCTGTCCGGGAAAGAGATTTTAATTAACGGTTCATCTTTACTACCTTAGCAATTAGGAAGTGAGAACACTTACAGTCCATAGCTACGTAATCAAAGGAAAAAAACACAAAGATCCCGTTTGTCATTACTACTATTTCTTGATAAAAAAAGTTGAAAATACATTTCAGAACTTCCTCTCACCCATCTGTGAAATCAGAAGAGAAAATTAAATAAAATCCTGTGGTCTTTACAAAACAATGTTATGGTTTAGGGTGCTGGTTTATCGGCATGCCTTACTAAAGACCATTTTCAGGAGATATTCTACATCACTGACATATCCCTAAACTGAAACTTGATTTTCAAGTTCTTTGGCCCAACAATAACTCACTAACAAACCTTCCTCCACCAGTTTTCAGCTGGGGAGACTGGAGGCGAACGCAGAGTCAAGCAAAGCAACACTGAACATGAAATAAACCACAAGCAATATATTCAGCCTATAGAAACAGACTGTTCCAGAAAACTGCCCCCAACTGCAGCTCCCAAATCCTCTCTGTGCATCCAGCACAAATTCTGTAACCCTGCTCGTGCCTGAGTAACCACTCAAGTTTTTTAGACACATGGAGAGCTGTTCTCAGCCTCCTAGACACAGAGCTGGCAGATACTTCAATAGCTGTGCAGACAGCATGTTCTTCTCCAGGCTGGAATATGTCCCTGGGATTGAAGTATTCCAGTAAGAACGGGACTTGGGTCATAGCATTCATCCAGATGGACTGGAACAGGGTGGAGAAGTCAGACGTGTAGAGAGAAAAAAGGAGGAGTGGAAACCCTGACATGGATTTATCTGTCTCACAAAGTCACAGAGCAGGAGGTGGCCACCTGCAAGCCCACCCCTGCACATGGGCTGGAAAGTGCCCGGTGGGAAAGGCCCTGGGGGTGCTGTGACAGCGGCTGGACATGAGCCTGGGTGTGCCCAGGGGGGCAAGAGGCCAATGGCCCCTGGGCTGGATCAGGAATGGTGTGGCAGCAGCACCAGGACAGGGACTGTGCCCCTGGGCTGGATCAGGAATGGTGTGGCAGCAGCAGCAGCAGGGCAGGGACTGTGCCCCTGGGCTGGGCACTGGTGAGGCCACACCCCAAATCCTGGGTCCAGTTCTGGGCCCCTTCCTGCAGGAAGGACACTGAGGGGCTGGAAGTGTCCAGGGAAGGGAACGGAGCTGGGGAAGGGTCTGGAGCACAAGTTTTATGAGGGGCAGCCAAAGGAGCTGAGGGTGTTTAGCCTGGAGAAGAGAAGGCTCGGGGAAGATGTTATTAACTACCTGAAAGGAAGCTGTAGCCACGTGGGGGTCGGGCTCTTCTCCCAGCGAACAAGGGACAGGACAAGAGGAAATGGCCCCCAGTTGCACCAAGAGAAGTTTAGATATTGGGAAAAATTCCTTCAGAGTGGTCAGGCATTGGAATAGGCTCCCCAGGGAAGTGCTGGAGTCACCGTCCCTGGAAGTCTTCAAAAGTGTGTGGATGTGGCACTTGGGGATACGATTTCGTGGTGAACATGCTGGTGCTGGGTTAGTGGTTGGACTCAGTGATCTGGGAGGTCTTTGCCAGCCTTAAAGATTCTGTGATCAAAATCATTTTCACATTTACCTCATCTGGATTTCTACAAACCAGCATACACCAGTTTACAGAAGTCCAACAAGAAGAGCAGGAATGGTTAAAGGACCTTGGTAACAAGAGGTTGTTATAAAGGCTGTCTGTAAGTGTTTATGTGCCTGAGTGACTGCCCGGTGTCCTCCTGATCCACAGAGCAAGTAACAAAAACCTGCGAAACTTAAGAATGGCCAAACATTTGTAGAGCACACCTCCCATCCCCAAAATCCACTCTCATCCATGCCGAGTGATTCCTCAGCAACCCCACTAATCCCTTCAGAAAAGGGCTAAATTAAAGCAGAGTACACGGACATGAAGTGTGTTCTCCTCTAGGACACGCTGGGGACTGCAAACCCCACGTGCTGTTACTGGTGTGAACAAGGCTTCACTTGGCCAGTGGGGCCCTAAGTTGGGAAGCAACTGCTGTGTCTGATCTTTGGGCTTTACCAAACCCTCTCTTCCTTATCCAGGTAGCAATGGACTGTCCGTGATTTACCCCTCCATGTCTCCAGTTTCGGGAAACTTGGAGAAAGAGGATGAGAAACCTCTCCAACTCTGCCAGTGTTTTCACAGTCCCTACTGAAGCTATGATGAGGTAGGTGAGAACCAAAACCCTCCTCTGAGCCAGCAGCAGGCAGAAATGGACTGGCTCAGAGGCTGGGATGGACCCTCATCCGTGGTCACTGAGGAGCAGCTCCATCAGAGCAGGGCAGCTGGGGGGGAACCCCACGCAGGGAGTTCCCATGTCCTGAACTCAGTGCTCACCACCAGGCTCAGAGGAGGACACAGGTCCAGCCTGCCCTCTGAACTCCACAGGGCTTGCCCCACGACCTCCACGTCATCCCGACACCGGTGCTCTCCTGGTGGATTTTACATCCCCTCCCAGAAACTGCCTTCCTAGGAAGCGGAATAAAGAGGCACAGTGTCCCTGCCAACCAGCACTGCTGTAGGTCTGCTTCCACGTGGGGTCACATGCGAACATTTCTATGCCCAATAACCTTGTTAGCTGCCTTAATGTCATTCATAATGCAAATGAGACAGCGAGCGAATGGCCAGAGGCCCAGAGTGACTAAAGCTCAGCATCCAGAAAGTCTTACATCGCCTCTAGCTCTAAACTAACTTCCCTCCATAACAAGCACCATAAACTTGGCTATCAAAGCTACACATGCCCAGTCTTTGTTGTACAACAGGCAGCGATTTGTATCACTGGCTTCTATTTTTAGCATATTAATTAACTACTGCAACTGGTGAGGCAAGTGTCTCCAACTGGAGAGTGTGGCACCATTGTCTGGAGTCATCACCTCATCTCGAGCTATTGAAAATCATGGCAGTGACCCTCCTGCTGATATGAATTTAACCTGACATGCCCACAAAGGAATGGGGGGTGGTGCACCAATTTTGTGCACATGGTTCTCCACATCACCCTGGACCCTATTAGTGTGGAAAGAGCTCATTGAAAGAAAAGGAGCCACATTGTGCTGGGCCACCTAGAGGGTTGAATAGAAAAGGCTGAGGAAAAGAGCAGGCAGCAGAATAAAGGCCATAATTAACATATTTCCATATTCAAGCAAAGCAATAACTACGTGAAGTGTTTGTCAAGGTGCAATGAAAGCATAAATATTAAGTACCGTATCTGAGGGGATGCAGAACCGCCCTCAGAGTCCCTTAGATTCCATTGAGAAATTCAAAACAAGCTTTTTACATGCTCTTTCCAATTACAAACCTGTATCTCTGCTTCCCCCATGGCAACAAGCCAAGGCCTGCCATCCTTACTCCGTTTTCACCCAGGTAAAACTGGCCCCCCTCACCCCAGAATTAAGTACAACATTTGCCCTGAGAGTTCAATAAATAAATAAATAAATAGATAGATAAATAAATGAAAGAAATAAAAGGGGGAGACAGAGGACCTAAACATGTGAAGCTGACATTTCGAATTACTTCAAATTCTTGTTGTAGATGATGAACCCTGAACTACAGATGGAATTTCATCCAAAGCACTTCTTCCTGGACACCTGAAGCAAGGCTGTGGGCTAAATCCTTCTCTCAGACCTCGGCTGTTGGGCATCCAGAGCCTGCATCAAAGACACGGCTCTGACTCCTCACTTTGGTGTGATTTATGGGTTTATAGGTTGGACTCAACGGTCTCAGGGGTCTTTTCCAACCTAACTGATTCTGGGATTATGCCATTCAATGGGAAAGTACAAAAGAGTCTCGTTGTAAGTTAGAGGAGTGTTGCCACAACATGGTCTATGAGAACCTGAGCACACGAACCCTTCAAGGGAAGACACTGGGTTTTTAGAAGGCAGGGCTTGCTTTCCTTTCTGTTCCCAGCCAATGAACACTACAAACCATCCCATTCCCATTTCAGTGTCACCTGTTTCCTAAAGGACCTTAAAAACAAGGGACCAAGCACCCAGGCTGAACACGCTCGCTGTGCCAAAGCCAGGTGGGGGAACTCTGTATTCTTACAGCGACCCTGGTGGCTGCTCTGGCTGTTGGTTGTTTCTTTGACCAGCCTGGTTTTAATCTCTGTAGTTTGATAGAGGTTAATTTTCAGATTTGCAACTACAGAATTGGAAACTGCTGTCTTAGGGGAGGTAAGGGGAAAAAAAAGACAGAAAAAAAGGGTGTGTTACCTCCATCAGGAGAACAGGTATTCACACACCAATTTTTTAAACCATCTACAGATCATGGTCACAACCAGCCTCAAACTTCACCCAACCAATGACTGTACTATGAAGACAAGCATGGATCTAATATTTAACCATCTATTCTTAAAAGGAAGGTCTAAGGGAAACAATGGAAGCAGTGAATTTAAATCTTGCCTGCTTTGATCCAAATGCACTTCCAGCATTCCAGTCTATGTAATATGAGCAGTCACTACAATATGCTCATTGGC